ATGGTTCATTGTTTCTCAGTGTATATTTTTAGCTTTCAGGCAGATAGACCTGCAGAGCAAATAATACCAAAGAATACATTCATTACAGAACAGCTTCTGTGCTTTAAAATTATACCACTCTTCTTCCAGATCTGAACATAGTGAGACAAGTACATTGGTAAAATAATTATTTATCACTCTTAAAAGCTTCCTTTAATATTTCTATCATTCAAATACTAGCTGGGGAAAATGTAAAGTACAGACAAGCATATTTTATGCACTTGCTAGTCTAGCTTTTATGCTGATGAGGACTTACTAAACACCAGTAAAGGGAATAGCAGTTATCAGCCCTAATTCACAACTGTGAATTTTTTAGGCCAAACAGATGCCCTTGCAGAATCACAGCCAAGTGTTAATGACAGGTCCAGTCCTTCTTCTGCTCTAGTCACCAGTTATTTCATATGGCTTCAAACGAGACCAGGTTTGCTCCAACACTCTGAGCGAGCACGCTGCTCTCACTGAGACGCTCATTGCCACAGTGAGCAGGATAAGGACCTCTAACATTACCCAAAGAAAGGAAAAAAAAACCCAAACAACAAAGCACTGTACTTTGCCTCTGCCTTTTTTCTTTGGTGTATAGGATTTGTCTTTTAAATTATTTTTTTGGTTAATTAAAAATAATGGGAAGCAGACCTTCAACATGAAACCAACTAAATACGCTATGAGACCTCTTTTGAAAGATACTTAAAATCTCCTCAAAATCTTTTGCCGTCACTTATACCTGTGCAAGAACAGAATAGCTTGGAGCTCCCCCAGGTAGCAGAGGACAGACAAGAAAGGTTGGTGTCCATGTTTAGATCTGCGTCCCTGTGAGTCTGCAAGAGAGCTGAATGGGCAGGACCCCAGTCAAGAGCTTTATACTGCAAAAAATCTTTTGTCAGACAAATCCATACTCTTGTCTTTAAAAGGATACAGGGTAAAAAACCTTAAGCCTAGGTGTAAACATTTGCAAACTGAGGTTTATTTTTTCTATCTATGCACTTGAAATGAACACTGAAAGGGCAAACCCCTCCTAATCCTATCATGGCAATGTCTTTCTCTGCTTCCTAAAACTGAGTTTATCATCTCATTGGCTGTCACACAGCTCGTGAGAGAAGTAATTAACTTGATTTTCCTGTATAATCACAGCACAGGATTTTATTTCTATTATTGGAATAAAAAACACATGTAGCCTGTTCTCTGTCTTGCTCCTGTTAAGTTACTTACAGACCTGAATGTGGCAAGCTTCAAAACACCCCAAGTGCACTAAGAAAGCTAAATCTGGGCTCATTTTAAGTTCCAAGCAACCTGCTTGTTAGCAGCTCTTCTCAACAAAGTCAGGAAAACTTCCAGTTTTAAATTTCTGTTCAAATTCAGGCAATGAAGACTGAAGACCACAAAACTGCTGCCATTGCTTTCTACCACATAAAATTAACAATTCATGCTGCTGCGTGCAACTTTCAGTCAAAGTTTGTCTGATTTATAAGCAAGCAGATGGTTCACACGATAGTCCACAATAAATTACAACAGTTAGAAAGACAGCTACATTTTGAGAGTGACAGTGCAGCTGAGCTACAGATGGGTTTATAGATGACCCTTCCAATTTTTAATAATCTCCATAATTTATGTGCAAGTAAAGAAATGCAAGGATTCCTAATGTACCTTCTTGACTAAGTACAAATCACTTTTATTTACACTGGCAATACTTCATGGTCCAGTTAACTTCTTAATTAAAGGCAGCAAGATGCTCATGTTCCATGCAAATGGCATGGAAAATACTGTTTAGTGCACAATATGTTTGGCTGGGAGTTTAAGATGCTCTGAACACGCCTGGAAAAGGGAATGGATCTATTTCATTTCATTAAAACAAGACTACAAGGCTGCAAACACTGCTACCACCAGTTGCTATTCATTCATTAATCTCCAGATAACCTTTAGGCTCGTGTAATAATGAGGTTATGTTTACTCGCAAGCTCCGATGCTTAGAAATAGGATCCTAATCCAGGAGGCACTGCAAACACAGTATTACTGAGCTAGGACTAGGATGGGGAAATAACAGGAACAGAGACCCTCACTATATGAAGGGAGAAGGATTTGGGGGTTCACACTTGAATGGGTGAGGGGAAAGGAAAGCAAGCCTGATCCACTTCTCCAGCATGGGACTGAACCACATCAGTCCAATCCTTCTGATAAGTTTTTTGAAGAGATGCCCAGAAAGATGCCTTTGTTGGGTTGTCATCAACTGCATGCCACAGTGCAACAGATTCAGTTCTTCTTGGTTGTAATTTCAGATGCAATGAGTTACCTTCCAAAAGGAGCACAGCTAAATGCTGCTGTTCTGTCCAGAAGGTGATGAAGGGAGCAGTACCTACTAGAGCTCTTTGAGGCACAAACTACAGAAACTCAGAGGTTCCACACAGCCAGTCTCTTCAGATGACATTTGAGGGCTTTTCCTCCTCTCTAAACCTTGATCTTCTCTTCCTGCCAAATTAATCTGAAAAAGAAATCCACTTCTAAGTGGAAATCCAAAACTATGATTAAACCAGAAGTCAGAGCTCCTAGGAAAGCAAGTCCGTGTGTAACTTTAATTACCACCTTCCTGGGGCTTAAGAGATGCAGCAGAAAAGAAGAGGCACCAGTGACAAATTCAGGCTTTCAAGAATTATCACAATTCATGTTTTGGAGATGTTTTGCCAGGGATTGTCTGGCTCTGCCCACAGCAGGACAGCGTGGGGAGCAGAACTGCAGAGACATGAGTGGGAAAACCCACTCCACAGAGGTCATGGGACTGCAGCCACTTACACAAAAAGTGATTCTTCCCCTGCCATTCCCATGCAGCCCCTTCATCTACTACACAGAACAAGTGAAATTAATTTTTTTTAATTAAAGTCTTCTATAAATAACCAGGGTATGAAAGTCTTTTGAGCTTTATATAAAAACATTATCTATTCCTGTACACAACACTTAGTTTTTTTAATTAAACATGTGAAAAATATTATATGTCAGCTTATTTCTGGGATGGTCTTTACTATTATTTGTCATGTTGCTTCTGTTACACTTCGCATATTTAAAGCCACATTAAGCACTTCTGAAAACACAGAGAAGATTACTACAGAATTGTTATGGATGTTCATCTGTACCACTGAGTGCTGAGTCTGGCACTTTATTTTAGCAATATTCATCAAGTTCAGGGACTGTTAGTACACTTCCCTCCAAGAGAATACTGGGTCATACTACTGTTCTTTAAAAGAAAAAGTGTCAATTATTTAATAATATTTTAAAATATTCCATATCTATTATCCTTTGATTGACTGCAACCCTTTCATTTGGTTACAAGAGGCCAGATTCACACACAACACAAGAAAGAAGAAGTTGACTGAAATCAACAGGATTGTCCCTGTTGCCCGCAGCCCAGTAGTAATTCCAATGTTATCACGAGCAACCTGAAAGCTAGCACAGCCTATTCCACTGAGAAGTCAGAGAAACTGTACTCATAGTTTATGTAACTATACAGTTAATACACTTTCCAGGACTCATGTACCGAAGCCAGAAGGGATGCTCCGACTCACTAGGCTGTAGATCAGACCTTCTGGCTTGCGGCTAGATCCTTCTCTGGCTAACAGCAAGAGTAACTCTGGAGGAGGGATAAATCAAAGAACAGACACAGGAACACACAGGCCTTACTTTATATTTCTTCTTCCTTGCATTCATTAAACTGTCAATGGGTAGAAACTAGTTTCATAACCTCAAGAAGGGTCACCTTTTGTACCCCCTAACACTGAAATGTAGATCATTATGATAATATGAAAACTCCCCATTATCAAGAAGTGGTTCTCAGTTCTCTTAGTAATCAAGCATTATTTCCAGCAATCTAACTAGAGAAAAAGAAATGTAAATAGTAATTTGTCAGTCTATTTATCAAACTGAGTGCTGCACCTTTCCGACACATTTTACATTACAAATTGTATGACGTGTAAGGTTCTATGGTTCTGTTTTAATTCAGAAATGAAAACATTTATAGATACGAACATTTTCTTATTATCTTTTTTTCCCAAATGATGCTTGTTCAAATCAATTTCTAGCCATCTTACAGAGGTTACAACCTTCAATAACTAAATCGGATATTGTACTGGCTGTTGTGTTGATTAGGCTACAAGGTCCACTTTCTACAGAAGCACTGAAATGCTGAGATAAAGGGATGTTAACTTTATTTAATTAGCTATCTGCCATTGTTATCAAAATGGGAGGTTGGTATCTGACTCAAATTAACACTTTGGATCAGGAAACAAGACAGATGACATCTGAGAGGGATCCTGGAAACTCACTGTAATCATTTCAGTTATTTTAAAACTGCTCAGGACAAAGAAGATGGCATTAGAAAGAGCAAAAGTTACCAACAGTCAACGAAGTGCTGCTATGAAGATGCTATTTCAATCACACTTGGGTTCTTTATCATTTTCAGTTGTTAATATCCTTGCCACTTTTGTCAAGCAGTCTCTCCTAGCAGCACTGAATTTTAATTGCACATAATTTTAAAGCACAACATGAAATAAGACTGAGCACATAATATGGGTTTATTGTGCCAGCTAACAATAGATCGGGCCCTTGTGCCAAGGCATCACCTCTCTGATCTCTGAGGATTAACTAGTAAAATGCAAGCTGGATTTCACAACTGATTGCCATCTCTCTACCTCAGAAATAGTAGGTCTCTCAGTTGAGGGTTGTTTATGATTTGTCTCAAGAGGAGACAAAAAGATAATGTGAAACCTCAGAGGTCCTGGAAGCATTTTAACTGTGGCTTTACACAAACTAAACCCACGTAGAGCTGAACAGTATCCAAATGAAGTCCTCAGAGGACACCCACTGTCTCACTCCCCAAACTTATAGAGTGGCCAAAGTAATTTATCCAATAACTACACCACGTCAAGGTTTCTTACTGTTAGGGCTACAGAAACATTCTTGTTCCTTTCCCAACAACTTACTGGTCTTGACCGGATTTCTTTGGCGTAGAGAGGTTTCAAGAATTCTGAATCTCCTTCAAGCTTTAGACCCTTTTCCGTGATTCTCAGGTTCCCCATGCCATCCTAAAACACAGACAAAAAGAAATAACCCCATTAGTTACAATTACCAAATTCACCAGGCTGCCAATAGCTGATTTTTTTTTTTTTTTTTTTTCCATAGAGGATGACATTTAAAGCACTGGGAGGCACTAGAGAATGCAATTACTTGTGTTATCCTTTTAGCTCTGTTTCTGTGGAAAAAAATTCTATTCAGAACAATCTGCAATGCCCCCCAGTAAAGCATTTACACAGATGAAAGATGTTCTTTTAAGCTAGTCATCTCTTCTCTAAGAGATGCAGCGATGCTCTGTGTTAACAGGAAACTATTCACTGTAATATTCACCAGCTGCCTGTATATTAATACACCTTCTCATTCATAGCAAATCCATATAAAGACTATGTGATTAATTCTACTGAACTCCATATAGAGAATACGTGGTTCATTCCACTGAACTGGCAAAGTAAGTTTTGGCTGTGCAGGAGTATTGCAATAAAATGTGGCAGGGAACTTGACCCCTGTTATTTGGGGAAATCTCTGTAAAACATGGACTATTTGGTGGGATTTCTTGAGGGCTATCAGCCCCCACAGCAAAAAGATATGGAAACCTGTTGATTAGTTTCAAGTCTCACAGTGTTTCCCGTGCTTTCGTTATTGCTAAGATGCTACACAGCTTATTGGAATAAACATTTATGCAAATATTTGCTCTGGGAGAAGCAATGATACAATAGGAGTATCTTTCCAGCAGATTGCTCCCCTGTCTCAGGTTAATTCGTTTTTCTCCTCCATGATGATCAGCTCAGGACTGGATCCCTTGCTCTGCTCCTTGCACAGCCCAAGCACATCCCAGCAATCTGGACCTCTATATCCAAATGTTTGGGTCTCCTGAGTCATTCTCATGTCCTGCATGAGACAAACAACCACTGCAAAGCTCGCTGGCCAGGCATTAAGTGACTGATGTAACATGCATTTCTGTCCTCTCCTCATTCAGGTTTCACAGTTGCAGCTATCAGTTCTCACCCTCTCCCCAGCCCTTCCAGGCTCCCCTGCTCCCTGCACTTCCATGGCAAAAATCTCCTTGACAAATGGTGTGAAGTGTTGGCTGCAGGCCTCCAGCAGATGACTGCAAATAGTCCCTTTTCTTCAGAAATTGTTTAGTTATGTGTGTCCAAGATGTAATGGAATATCTGACAAACCATAATAGCAAACAAAATATATGTCAAGATTTTATATGAGTTTTTCTTATGGATTTTATGCAGTAAGACAGGTGTATGGATACACTGGCACAGAGCAGAATTGGACCAAACTATATTTCACCTTTAACTTGTGAAAGTCATAACTTTTACTAATATGAGGGATTTAGGTTCATTTTGGCTATAATTGCTTAGGAAGGGGTGTGTGTGTGTGTGTGTAAGAAACATGGTGTGAGTAGAGAAGTGCACAAGCAAATGTATAAGCAAAACCACATCAAATGCAAGGTATTATTTCTAAGATTCAGGATGATTGTCAGTCTGCAAGGGTTGAGGTAAATCTGCAAGGATTGTCAGTCTGCAAGGATTGAGGTAAATTGTTTTTTTTTTTCTGAGAAAAAGATGGTCTGAAGAATACCTTTTAGCATAAATTTGACTGACATCACTAGGATTTGAGACTGACGCTAGCAAAAGTTATGTCTCTACATGTATAAACTAAGATCGGTAAACGACCAGGAGTTGGATAGTCAAGAACTGCCGCAATAATCCTCAAACATTCCCCTTAAGGAATCTTTCCACCTTTTTTTTTTTTTCTTCCCCAATTTCTCCAGGCTAGAGAAGCAGGAAGATGATGCTATATGATGCCTCAAGGCCTCCAAGGTAAGGCAGGGTACAATAATCATAAAATCTACAATAGCTGGAGCTCAGAGTGGGGAGAACATTGAAACAAGGGACACACACGTCATCACTTCCAGACAAGAGGCTTCATGTTACGGTGAGAGAGACACTGAAACCAAGGATCATGCAGGCCACAGGATGGCAGGAATTGTAATTTGGAGGAATTATTGATCTATAAATATAGACACGCCATACTGACTCCATGGCATGTCACTGTAATTTAGGGACTCACTGAAAGGGACTAGGGTGTCTTCTTCTCAAGTCCTGCTAGACATGTCCTTAAACACTGAAGTCCAAGTCAAAAGAGCCACCCCAGCGTCTAAGTCACAGCTGTTTCAGAGATTTTAGAGGAAAGGGGTATGTACTTGGGTAGAAGCCCTAAGAAGATCACGAGAAAACCAGGAAAATGCAGTAATACCATGTGAGTTTGGATATATGTCTTGCATATTTTCTAATCTAGCTGCAAAAATAAAACACATCTGTCTGCCGCCTCTTCCTCTCCTTGCGTGTGCACCTCCAGCACTGGAAAAGGAATTCTGTCACTAAAGGTGAATGGCTAACCCAAACAGATTTGCATGAGCTCTTGCCAAAAGGCATGAATTTGAAGGGATAAAAATCAAAGACATAGCATGGCTCAGCGTGACACTGGTCACTTGCCAGAGGTTCTCCTGTTCCAAGAAGGATCATTCCCAGGGTGTACCCTGCCAAGTAAAGATCCTTCTTGCCAGAGCATCGTGTCTTATGAACAGAGGCAGGCTCAGGAGTGGTGGATAAAATGACCACTGTCATCTCATTTTGAAATGAAAGTTTTAAACAAACTTTAAATAGAGACATATGCTGAAAATGTTATTGATTGTTGAAGGGAGGGGAATGAGAGATGGGTCATAAAGTGTAACTTGCTACATTCCTTGTCCTGGGTGTAAAATATTGGCTTATGAATTCTGGGTTAGTGGTGGCACAGAAGGGGTTCATTTATCTCAAGCAAAAGGATGAAGGAAAATGAGTGAAATATGATTATGCACCAAAGAGCCCAGATTAAATTTTGATAGCAGTATGCTTTGTGATTTGAGTGAGCAGGAATTATTACAGCTATCTGCAGACCCTCACATGTTTTGTGCTGCTAAAAACTACATATTTTTTTTTTTTCCCCAAATAGATAATTCAGTCAGGTTACAAGCCCTAAGGGCTTTCACATTGCAGGGTCTTCTCTGGTTTCATTAAGAAAAGTAACAGGTCATGCGAGCTGGTATATGCCACATATAGCTGCAAGAGTGAGCACCTCTGTGGGTACACAATCCTGACCACCCCAAGGGCTCAGTCCTGAGATGAAGTTGGGCAATACTTTTCCAGTAACATGGACCAATGGATAAAGGGACTTTTCAAGTCACCACTGAAGCTATGGCAAACCAGCAATTTCAAGGGCTCACAACTATATTCTATCCAGAGTAGTGTTACAGATCCAACATTCCACCCTGCTCCTCTCTTGCATGTTTCTTTTCCTTTCTCTCCTTCACCCTCTGTCTCCCAAGTGCCCCCCATAGGATTTTTATATATGAAAAACACACATATGGGACATGTAAGTCACAGCTAGCAGGTCCTCTACATCCCAAAAGAGGTATCCGGCCTATGGGACAATGTCCTACAACCAAAGCATCGAGAACACTTGGTTTATATCATGTGAGAAGACGTCTTCTCTCACAAAACCACTGGGATGGAGAAAAAGGGGCACTTCCCCATGTTATTCTTAGTCTTTGATCCTTCACAGCCTCTGATCCACACTCACCTTTCTCTCCTCCTGTGGCTGCCTAAACTAATAAAAGCGGCACTCACCAGACATTACCTCTTGACTTCCCTGGTGTTTAGGACTGGAATGTAATGCTTAGCACTGACTCTTACCACAGTTAACTCTCTGCTGCTCATGTTTCTCATGATTAAGCATGACAGCTTTTTGTAGTGACAGCTGGGGTCAGCAGGTGAAAAAACAAGCAAAGGTCGTAATCTGAGCTTAAAGTTAACGAGTATATTGGTCTCTTATAGTACCATCACTATTAAATCACAATCATTTATTATTTCCCATTAGGAAAAAAAAAAAATAAAGCAGCTTGCAGAATTATATAGAGATCCCAAAACACAGGCACATTAGAGAGAAATCATTGTATAAAAGACTACTTCGCATGTTGTTCTGGATAAAGCATAATCATCCTCCCTAAATTATATGGTTTAATAACAAATAAATGTCATACTCTTCTACAGAGAATATATGTGAAAGTTCCTGTGAAATTTCATGGACCGTGACCTATAAAATGTAGGAGAAAGCTGCCCAGAGTGACAGAGACCATGAGTTTTTATTAAACATTGTGCCTGTGACCAATATATATCCTTATCTGCCACTCTATTGCTTGTGAATAAGGGAAAAAAAAAAAAAAAAAAAAAATATTTGAATCACTGACATCTGACAATCTTCGTTTCTCCCCTTTTTATTAGCAGACTACTCAGCAGAGAGTCAATGACTTTACTGTGCAAGCACAAGCCAGCTTTGTGGGAGCTTCCAGGAGACAAGCTCCAAACAGGAGGCACGGAGTCAGGAACCTTCCATTACCACCTACTTTGATGTATTCAGCTTTTTGGTAGGGCATGGTGAAAACCTTCATATCAATTTTATCATCTACACTCCCTCTCTTTTTATGCAATGCCTTGTAATGGGCAGGCATAAAAATTCACGTGCTATTGCTGACTGCTCAGTGTTGAAACAGGACAGCAATGGTAAAATCCTGAATAGCATAAATGTCATTTTGGTGATGGTGAATGAGAAAGGAAATTTTTTTTTTAGTAGCTTGAGAAACAACTCAGTTTTACAACCAATTACAAATGATGGTGTTCGGGGAAGAGCCCGAACCTTACTGCTATCTGATCATCAAGGCTCTTCTCTGCCTTTTGGTTAGCAATATGGCTATACATGTGGGGAAAGCCTAGGGGTTTTTTGTTTTCCTTTTTAACAGTTGTGGGTTAATTTTTTAAAAAAATTGTATGTCTCGTAGCAGGGAGATTCAGTTAACAGAATAAGAAAAACCAGCTAACCCAATCAGAGGCACATAAATGCTGTGGTCAATACCTGGCAGTGGTATTAGCCACACCAATCTGGACTGCATACACAGAGG